TTGCTCGACGCGACTTCTGGCGTGGAGGACAGGAAGGCGGGCGGGGCGGCGGTTACTGCTTGGAGGGAGAGTCCCCCTCACTACAGGAAGCCACGACCACGTGTCACGGGAGGGAAAATGGCCACGGATCCTGTTCATCACCCGATCCGGTGCTCACGAACGGAAGCAAAATTTTGTGAACGGTGCTGTTCGTGACCCGAATTGGTCGTGAACAGAAGCGTTCGTGACCCGAGGTACCACTGTAACTCATTGCTGAAGGCAGCTTTTTACATGACATTATGCAGGAAGCAAAGGAAAGATCAGCCCCCCTGGACAATATACTCTAATCAAGAGACACTTTGTAATTAAGGAAGCATGCAAGCTGACAAATAAATAAATAATTCAGTCCCTGCAAAAATAGTCACAGAGCCTCAAATTTCCCGCAAGAAGTAATTGCTCTAGAAATATGATAAATAACTAAATCAAATACTTTTCAAAGGGCTAGGGATTCTTTCTGTTTTTTGTTCAACAGGAATCTGTTGGAGTGGACTGAAAAGATCAGTTTCAAATGTGACTTAGTTATAAATACCATTTCCTAAGAGAACATTATGCACAAAATAGCTTGCTTTACAATGGGAAGTAATCAGTTGACCCAATTCAGAAATGAAAGCCTGAACTAATTAACTGCTGATAAATTGGAGTCATTCTATTAACTATAGCATGAGCAAAAAAATTTTTTTTCTATTCTCCTCCTCTGTGGCATTACAACTTTTAACAAAACTGTTTTTTCCATCCTCCTCCTCTATGGCCCTGCAAATTTTAACAAATATTCTCTAAGATGATCTGTTTGTACCTTCTGAAAAGAGGTGTCTGTAAAGTCAGTAACCAGAGAACAATGTTCAACACTGAAAAACAAAATGTGCTTAATTTTCGACCTACTTATTCATTGTGACACTGTCAAAATAAGTGCTACTTGAATTCACTTGAGATTTAAAAGAAATGGTCCTGGGGATGATGGGAAAAAGAGATTTACAATCTTTTGTTGAAATCCTGAAAGCCTCTTCAAAGATAAGTGGAGATCCATAAACACACAATATTTTTGACTTCCCATGAACAGAAGTTCCCATGTGATCTTAAGCTGCTTTCCAAAGCATTTTATCATTCAAGTAATACAGTCTAGAAAAGCCCCATTGTACGGGTCTGATGGTTTACTGTGGCTGTCTCATCTTTATTGTGATAGACTTAGGCTGTATTTACCTAAGTCTCTATACTTTCTTTGAACACATCTGAATAACAGATAAAAAGAAATAGTATCCTCTCAGGTTTCATACTCAGGCACCTTCTGGCTTCTTTGAATCATTGGGCAAGCATTCCTGCAAATGCAATTATTTATGATTCGGCAATTTATCACTAATGCTTTGAACTGGAAAAAAAGCAGCAGAAATCAAACTTAGGGTAACCTAGAATCCTATTTTCTTTCCTAATTTCATATTGTATTCACATGGCATATTCTTGAAGAATTCACCATATGCACTGGCTAGAAAAGTGTGTGTGTTTTTTTTTTAATGGAACTTGTGCTTTGGCATGGAAGTCAATGGACTTCAATTTGCTATTTGGGTTGTTACTGGGAATGGCTTATTGCTATTTCCTGTTTCAGGAAAGTCAATCAGGCATGCATGGAAATGAAAAGTTATTATTTTATGTCACAGCATCTGCCCTGTATACAAAATATCATAGGTTTAATTTCTGGTATCTCTAGATAGAGCTGAGAGAGATTTTTGGTGAAATTCTGAACAGCAACTTCCAATTACCACAACCAATTGATTCATTGATTATGTGTCATCAAGTTGGTATCAACTCTTAGCGACCACATAGATAGGCCTTCTGCAGGATTATCTGTTCCCATCAAGGCCTCTCAGATTTTCCAATAGTGTATCCATTGCTCCTGCAACTGAATCCATCCACCTTGTGCTGGTCATCCTCTTCTCTCTCTGCCCACCTTTCCCAGCATTACAGACATCTCATAATGTGTCCAAAATACATTCAGTATGATCAGACAGAATGGGTATGCTCTAGGTCCCATCAACTAAACAATGTCATCTGTTGGGACCCAGGAAGTATGCCTTTTCTGTCGCAGTGCCTGACCTATGGAATAATTTCCCCTCAAAGATCCATATGGACCACTACCCTGATGATGTTTAAGAAGGCCTTGTAAACTTTGCTGTTTCAGCAGGCCTTGGGTTAGGATGGGTGGTGAGCCCCTAATACCATTTTATATGGTAGTTTGAATATTTTTCTTGCGGTGCATATTCTTTTCTTGGATGACGATGATGATGATGATGATGATTAATGTTGCATGCTTTATGGGGCTAGGTAGCCCTCTAAATTTGATAATTTGAACCTGGTCATTTTTGCCTCAAGTGAGAACTCTGGATTGACTGGTTCTGTGAAGTATTTTGTTTGTTTGTTTAGCTATCTGTGGTATTCTCAGGAGCCTTCTCCAACACCAAAGTTCAAAAGTGTCAACATTCTTTTTATCCAGCTTCTTCAAAGTCCAATTTTTGCTTCCATAGGATGTCATATAATTCTACTGCCTACATGATTCCAGTCTTTGTACCTGTTAGCTCTGCAAGGTAGAGCAGTCCAAGAAACCAATGCCATATAGGTCTAAAATTGCTTTTATTGGAACAGTTGTAGTGACAGAATCTTGCAAGTCTGAATGTGCTTCCCCTTCCCTCACTTTGTGTGAACTAGGGAGAGGCCCTGCCTGAGATGTTTTCTCAAGTTATTTTCTTGGCAAGGGCTCAAGCCCCTCTGACTGTTGCCTGGGTAGCGGCTCTTCTTCCCGTCCTTCGAGGCCATTCCCAATGCCCTCTACAGTACAGTAATACCTCGGTTCACGAACACTTCTGTTCACGAACAATTCAGTTCGCGAACAGTAGTGTTCGCAAAATTTTGCTTCCGTTTGTGAACTCCGCATCAGGTGACGAACATGACCAGCGGCCATCTTCCCTGCTCTGACATGTGGTCGTGGCTTCCTCTAGGTGAGGTTGCGGTCGCAGACAGACACTTGCTGTGAAGCTTTTTGGTGTCGCCTCAAGCAAGGTTAGTGTTCTCTCTCTTCATACTATACTGTAATGTACTTTGTTTCATATTTTTGTGGTTAAAAAAAATACATATG